GAGTTATTAAGTTTTGCAGGACAAACCCAAGCGGCGGATATGCGCCTCGTAGTCGAAAATCCTGGTCTGGTGCACGGTGCGGGCAGCCGTATACGCGCCACGAGGGTACGCTAGTAAGAATGCTGTGGCATCCACGTCGCATGGAACGGCTAGGCCGTTCTTGGCTGCCGTTACGAGCAGCTTCTTCTGCGCTGTCATGCGTTGTTGGCGTTGGCTGAACCTCGCTGATTGTCGATGATAGACTAAGTACGAAATTGGGCTGTGGGAAATGTATAAGTTCTGGAAGTTAATGTTTATTGAGAGAGAAAGGTGAAGATTGCGCCTGAACACCACAAGTTCTGCTGTACTATGTTTCATCATTACGCGCGACATAAAGGAGGGGGACTTCAGACGCTTCGTTTGTGTAGCCGTTATCACATCCATGACCCTGGTGTGACGCGATGTAATTTCTTTTTCCAACATAAGGTAGAGAAGCAGGCTCTGGAGCTCGCCCCTTGATATAAGTCATTCAGTCCGGGAACTGAATCAATTCGAAAAGATAGTAGTCACTGAAGAATGAGTGTGATGTTCTCAATGTCTGTATTAACACAGTACAGTATACTTTGGGCAACGCGATCGACCTTTGCTTATGAGCGTCAGCATTTGCTCATGCGATCATATTCATCTTTCATCGATTCTAAGCCAATGAGATGCGTGCATCACAACACTGACCTAGGCAAAAGGGGTGACACCTTTCATGCGAGATCGACCTGTGAGGGGATAGGCTCGGTCGTATTTAGTACGAGTCAAGAACACCTGACCGCGTTATTTATAGACACACACCTCACAAACAAGAACGATTCAAAAGTTTGGCATTACACCTTGCGCACACTCACTAATAGCTTTACCCCTTCGGGCTCGCAATAAGCAATCGGTGTGTCTCGACGAGCAAAGACATGTGTGGGGTGGGGGCCTAAAAAGTATTTGTATGACGAACGCGTCACGATCGCTTTCACAAGTAATACGTATACGGGATCCAAGCTTTCCAGCATTGACATTCCTTTACTAAGGATCGCCCAAAGGTTGACACGACATGTCGTCGACTATGACGTGAATTTCATGACCCATTAGCAAGAGCACGAGGACAAAAGTCACCGTTATTCCGCCAGTATCTCCAGCGGTCTAAGGGTTCGCAATTACAAGACGTCTTTTGCAGTTGAAAGGTGCGTAAATAGCATCGGAGCTTACCATCTATTTTCCTTGGCTTTAACTAGGACACGTTTTTGGAGGTGGTGGATCACCTGCAAGTAAAGTGGGCTTTTCCTCTCGAAAACGATGAGGTTGCCGGCACACCTTCCTTTTCAACAACGCGCCTTGTCGGCTTGTTCTCATTTTCTCTTTCGATCATGAAGAATTCTGTAGGGGCAACACGGTTCTCTACCACAAGAAACAATAGCTGAGTATACCACCGCAGCATTGTACTCTTCTCCTCTCATTACAACATATCAGCCCACATTCTTTACCTAGCAAATAATGCCTTCTTATGCAGTATTTTGTACTTCACACGTGTGGGACTACATAATTGTTTTCATGACAGCGGCCGGCTCACAATTCACTTTTAGTCTCTTTGACTTGAGCAAATTGTTCGTGACACTGGCTTTCATATCGTGCAGCTCTTTCGGACACAATGACTATTGTGATGTAATTCCTGAGCTGGCAGATATTCTCAGACAGCTGTGAGAGCGTGTCCAAAACTCTTCCCTGTGTCAAACATCGCTGTATCACATCTCACAAGATTTTTGTATCGTATTAAGTGTACAACAGACCCTCGACTCAAATAAGTGGCGTTTTCCTCCTAATTTAGTGCGCGCCACGTCAACATGCGGCATACGTGGCTCACCCCCTCATCGTCTATTGGTTGAAAAAGCATTCCTCGCGATCTAACAACGCGCCGCGTGGCCCTTCGACTCAGTCCCTTATTTTCCTCTTTGCAACCCCCACGGCATCACCATGTCGGACGTCAACACGCTCGTGTTCCAGCCGCTGAAAGAGTTCTTCAAGAACAGTCTCCACCTGATCAAGAAGTGCAACAAACCCGACCGAAAAGGTGCGTCTTTGTAGACCCTTTTGAGTCGTTCCTGAGGATCGTCTACTGACTTGTGACTCTTTTTTGCCACAGAGTTTGCCCGCATCGCTGGCGCCACGTCCGTGGGCTTCTTATTGATGGGCTTCATCGGGTTCTTTGTCAAGCTTGTGCACATCCCCATTAACAACATCCTCGTGGGTGGCGGCGCCTAATTGCGGCTGCTGCTCAGTTGCCGTCGAGAAAGTCGCTCCTGCAGCTCAAGACGAGAACGAGCTGGAACGTTGGAGGGCACATGTCGCTGATTGGAAGCCGATAACTCAATAGACAGTAGCTTTTGATATGTATGACCGCCATTTGTTGTGTCTAGCTGATTGCAATGGATTCTACCGGTGGAGAGACGCTGTGGAATTGCAGATGGAAATGATGCTCGAGCAAGAAGTGAGAGCACGGTTTTCTCGTACCGCTACATGACACAGCGACGTTTACACGTGCAGATCGATATAAAGGCCTGCAGCTGCGACCGGCCGAGGTACTGATGTCCGGGAAACTGGTGCGGGTTCGCAACGCGTCTTGCGCGCTGGAAAGGACTGATTCCCGAAGTTCGAAGCATGACGGTTCATTAGGCGCATGAACCGGCAGTGACTGTCACGTGGCGGTATTGACAAACTCGCCTTGGCCATCGAGGAAGACACCAGTTTCGACAACGCAAACATCTAAGCTCACAACGCATCGGAGACGCTGCTGCACGTTGCCCTGCTTGCAGATACAGATGCTGCTATGGGCGCTGGTGACGAAGCTTTCGACAATCCAGACCTGTCGCAGCAATATCTAAACCGGAAAACACTTCTCAACCTTCGTGACACTGTCAGTTCATGCGTAGACCATGACATACAACTTGCGGTAGACCGCGTCAGTATACTCGTCCTGTGGCAGTCAGGCGCACGATTCCCAAAAGGTCGTGCTGAAGACATTGTCCATCTGTTTGGTTCACGTGAAGGGCGGCCGACCTCGGATTACGGAAGTTCAGGCGCAAGACGCTTCACAGAAAGCAGTATGAAAGTCGACTGCTCCAATCTACACGAAATCAACATCGCAGAACAATCACAGCGCTTGCGCTAGCTGCTACATGTAGAGCGTTCAATAGGTGCTGCTCAAGAACAGCAGAAGATGCAGAGCTGACGTCCTCTGTTCAATTATCATGGCTTTTGATAAGCTAGCGTGTGTCGACGCAGGTACCGTGTCTCCAATGCGACGCGGTCGGCTGTCAGCCACTATATTGGATGTGACAAAATAGAAGTCCTTGTCCGTGCTAAAATTTTGGCAAGTCTAAATTAAGGACAAACTGAAGCAAAGGAGACAGCCGAAAAAGACCGACGGATACCGTCAGTTTCCGTGTCGCAATGTTTGTAGCGTTTATTTCAGTACCTTTTCCGCATCACACGTAATTGATCATCGCAATAATTGCAATTTCACATCAGCTTGTAGTCATTTCGTAAGCACCGTCCATGCCGTCGACGCGAAAGCTGCTACTGGTGTCATGGACAGCGTCCGTATCGCTGCTGTACCCAGCTTCATCCTATTCTCTCTTCAAGCACGAAACGAGTCCTCTGTTCACCAAGACGTTCCAAGTCCATTCGCTCGACGCGCAGAACTACGACACGACGATGAACGATTCGGACATCGTCTGGCTTGTAGACTATTACGCTCCGTGGTGTCCCCACTGCCGCCGATTCGCTCCCGAGTGGGAGAAAGTTGCCATGTTTTACTCGGAGACAAGCAAAGTACAAGTAGGTGCTGTTGATTGTACCAAGAATAGCGAAATCTGCAATCAAGAGGACATCCGTGGATACCCTGGGGTGAAGCTTCACCACGTGCCAGCACATGCAGAGAGGGCCCAGATAATGCCAAGAAGTGCTGGAACTAGTAAAAAGGTGATTATTTGGGCAGAAAAGCTTATGGAAGAGTATGGCATCGAGTCTGGGATGAATGTGGAGAATCTGGATGCTCGGTTATCGACTTTCCGAAAGAATGGCGTTGTAGTAGCTGATGGAGACGAGGAAATGATTCTTTACAGCGACCAGTCATTGGAGATGAAGTACAACCGCCTGCACGATGCAGGTATTGCAGTGGTGTCTACGTTTGAGAATGGGTTTTTCATGGGGGCCGATGTTTTGGAAGGAGAGCGATACGAGATTGCATTAGTGTGGGTAACGGCACTCGCGGCATCGTTTCCTGGGAAGATGAATCGGCAGGCGCTTGTGGTTCTCGTGCAGTCGATGATGACACGTAAACACTGGGAGCATGCCGAGTGGACGTTGATGCTGCAGAGGTGGCAGAAACTTGCGAGTGACAAAACTTTCCCGGTGAATTTATTTGCGTCAAGTGAATACAAGTCCTGGGCATTGTGCAAGACGTACACGTGCGGACTTTGGACACTGTTTCACACCATAACAGCAAGTAAAATGAATGTCACTGAGATTTCTACCGAGGAGCCTTGGAAGCCAAGTAAAATAATGGCGGCCATTCGACTATACATCAAAAACTTTTTTGGCTGCGAGGAGTGTCGAGAGCATTTCATGCGCCTGAATCCGGCAAGCATTATCGACAAGCTCGCCGCTATTGATATCGAAGAGCCCCGTGCAGTGGTACTATGGATATGGAGGATGCACAATACGGTAAATGAGAACCTGAAGAAAGATCAGTGGCCGTCGAGGAAGGTGTGTCCAGTCTGCTACGTGGAAAACGGTGAATCTATATCGCTTGATCCCACTCAACTTCACGCTCGTGAAATTGTTGCGTACGTTACAAGCGCATATGGGCAGGATGATGAAGAAATACTTGCCATGGAAGCTATACGGAACGGCAATATGTTTTCCCTGCGGCCATCGATGGATATTTTCAGCTCATTGATGATCGTGCTGGTGCTATTTGCACTGCTGGGTGTTGCCTATGCAACAAAGAATCATCGCATGTACCCTCACAAGACAATTGTGACGCGGCGCCATTTAGCGTAGACGCATAGTTGGTGGACACGAGCGCTTCTATCATTCGTGACGTCGATACGATTGTTTTTAGTCGAATGTGTGAACTTTGTATACAAAACGGTATCACGAACGGTTTTGATTGTGAGTGCGTCGACACCCCTTACACCCTTTCAGCTTTGGTAAATTTCCTTTGTTCGATATTTGATTGTCGAATGTAATGCATGCATAGTGTACAACATACGCCTAGGTTGGCGTATCGACCGTGTCACTGTCCGCTGCTTTGGACGTAATTTTGTCATCGATGAGTTCAGTTCGTGTTCGCTCGTTTGTAAACATTCCAGCTATTTACATGCTTCACAGTTCGATAATGACACAAATATTATACTTAACAAACTGAGTCCTTCTATTTCACTTTGAATGGGTCATCCACGGCCACGCCTCCCAATATACGAATTGTAAGGACTGGATCTGAAAGTAGCCTAGGTTACGACCAGAGCTCTGTCCCGCAACGTCCCATCCCGCGGAATTTCGCACATCCCGCATCGTGTGATTATAAGATAGGAGAGCTAGCTCTGGAGCTCGCCCTATGATATAAGTAATCCAGTACTGAGAACTAAATCAAGTTACAAAACACTATACAACAGCAGCAGTCACTGAAGAAGGAGTATGATGCTTTTGATGTCTGTAGTAATCCATAAAGTATGCTAGCGCAACGCGTTCAGCCTTTACTTATGAGCAGCCAGTATTTGCTTATAACGAAACGGAATGGGTTATTGCCAGAAACCGAGACTGTGGCGAAGCCTCACAGCTTCTTGAGTCACAAGAAGATTTAGTGCTCAAAAAGAGATTATAGTTCTAAAGGACTAGACTCTATGAGTCAACAAGCATAAAGCTTAAGGTTCCTGTAACGGGGTGAATCGTTACATAACAATTTATAAGAAATTGTTAATAGAATATAACTATAAGAGTTATATTCTCAGAATATTGTCATAAGGACAATATTCTGTAGCACTTCCAAGTAGTTCCTAATTGGTTGATATAGGCCATTATATCAACCAACGAAGACGCGCCACGACAGACGCACGCAATGAGTGGTGAGCAGATAACTGATTTACACATTTGTATTTAGACATAGTTAGATGAAGATAAATAGTGATTTATTGCAGACATTAACTATTATAAATACAGTTCTACTTTTTACTCTAACCGAGTACTCGCTTCTTCTTACCGTCTTCCTCTGCACGTACGAGTGTACGTGAAGTTACGAGGCACCGCCTTATTCTGTTATCAGAATAAGTAGCTTGTACTGTCACCAGTACAAGCTTCAGGGTGCCCCGTTACACCTGGTAGCACTTTGTAGTCCGTCCAAGGACCGCGTTCACATCCAACATGAATATGTTGGATGATGAAGATGACCAAAGCTTTCACGCTACGCGTGACGGCTACTCCCATTTGAGCGATGTCGAATGGGATGCGGTTGAACGAATGGGTTCGACCATGGGCATCCATGCTGTTAGCGTCATGCTAGAGGCTCTCAATAGAGATGCCCAACATGTTACTATCGCCAAGTTCATTCAAAATGAACTTGACGCAGAACGCGAGAAAGTAGCCTTGCTTCACCAACAAGGTTCTCAACAAGCAGAGTTGTTGAGAGAACAAGGTGCTCAACAGTTTGAACTGTTGAGACAGCAGCAGGCTGCTGCTGGCGGGTCGATGCACTCGCGTCGGCCCGAGACTTTGAAGATTGACATCTCAAAGTATAGGGGGTCGAAGAAGACTCCCTCTTGAGATGGTTCGTCGAATTGGATGACGCCATAAGGGCGCGTCGCATCGACGACGGGGATATGCAAGTTGCATTTGCCCAGTCAAATCTGGCAGGACGTGCCAAGACTTGGGCATTGGGGCTCAAGCTGCACGACCCATATGCGTTTGGGTCGTTGGAAGTTCTTCAAGTCGCGGCTCAGACAAACGTTTGAACCGCCTAGAGCTGAGTTCAGAGCTCGAACCGAACTCTTGAAGCTCAAGCAGGGTAAGCGTGATGTGCACGCTTACGCTCAACATATACGACATCTCACGAGTTGTATAAGTTCCAATCCGGTGGATGAACACACGTTGGTTTCGGTGTTCATGCAGGGTCTTGCGGATGGTCCCGTCAAGACTCACCTGTTCCGGCTTGAACTAGATTCACTAGAACAAGCCATTTCCATTGCGGAGCAGGAAGACTTCAGTCTGAGACAGGCTCGCGCCAGCTCGACATCATATCGTCAACCGAGACGATATGACAACGGAGGTCCAGAGCCGATGGAACTCTGTTATGTAGAGAGCGAGAAGGCTCGCTCTACAGGCTACAAGAAGTTGCAGAGATGCAACAGATGTCAAAAGACAGGACACTACGCTTACGAGTGTAGTGCCCCTCGTCCAGTGTCTCGCGACACTGGGCGTAGTGACCGTCCACCCATGAGAAAGGGGCAGGGACGAGGGTCCGCAGTTGGTGCAAAGACGCAACAACGGGATGGACCGTCAAAAAACGGACAGGATCAGTAGGTGCGGAGCACCCTACTGATCCAGCAACGTCAAGAGAATTTGTAGGCCTCTTGATGAAGGTTGCTCCCAACACACAGACATTGTGCGTTGCTGCTCTAGGTAATGAGATCTCACTCATTACCTTGAAACTCGAAGTGACGAATAAGTTGTCCCTTCGAGCTCTAGTCGATTGTGGGGCGTCCAACAATTTTGTGCGACGCCAATCGCTAGAAGATGGTCACTTTAAATTCAGTGAATGTGACACACCTCCTACGAGGATGACGGTACGTCTTGCGACAGGCGCATCCGTAACCGTCATGAAGCGTATAGTGAAGATTCACTATACGCTAGAAGATACCCAATATGACGATGACTTTATCGTATTGGATTTGGATGACAAATTTGATGTCATCCTTGGAATACCGTGGCTCAGAAGGTACGAACCACGGGTAAACTGGCAACATCGGACAGTAACGATGCCTGCCGCTTGTTCATCAGATGGCCATCTGATGAACGTTTTGGAGCGTCCACAAGCGTGTGGATGTACTACGAGTGAGTGCGATGGCCTCACTTGTGGTACGGTCGTTAGTACGACTGCACAAAACCTTAGTGTACCAAACGGTTACACTTCGGAGCAAAGTTCCGGCGGCTGTGAGGAAACACAGGCTGCGCCGAAGGTCCACCACTCGAATAAGTCGGGTGGACTGGGACAAAGATGTATCCCTAGAGGGGAACATCTAGAAGAGAAACAATCGATCGCTCAGGTTAAGCGAAACGATAATCCTAGATCGACTGGAGAGTCTTTCGTAGAGGATCTCGCTGTGGTTGCGCAACCCCAGCTAGAGGAAGTAAAGGGAATAAGTCCCAAGATTACAAATACGGCGGAAATAAGTTCCCCGAAACCCGCGGGAATAAGTCCCCGGGAAGACGAAGGAATAAGTCCTTCGAAGCCTGAGGGAATAAGTCCCCAGGAAATGACAGAGACATTGAATGTCATAGTCAATAACGGATCATGTGTAGGCGCTTATACACTTGATCTGATTGCGCCTCCGAAGTTAACTTCGGAGATCACTCAGTTGCCAACGCTCGAACATAAAAGGTTCTTGCGTGATCTGCGTAGTGGCAAAGTCAAGCAGATCTGCATACTCGTCGCTGACGACGAGTATGTAACCGACATAAGGTCAGCAACAGTGTTTACTGAGAACGAGAGAGTTCTCAGTAGTTCATCTATGGACGAGAGTGTCCTAGATGAAAAGACACGAATTGAGCGATATGAGTCCCAATCATGGGAATCGCTCAAGGAAAATCCTCTCTATGAAGATTTGGTTGAATTCAAGGATGTATTCCTGAAACTGTTCCGTGCGAATTACCGAAGGATAAAGGTATTCGACACGAAGTCGAGCTTAAACCAGGCTCGAAGTACTGTGTCATGAAGCAGTGGCCACTGCCTCGTGAACAAGTACTTGCGATCGACAAGTTCTTTGCCGATCGTTTAGCAGCGGGCCATGTGAGGGAATCAACTTCCCACATAGCTCTCCGACCTTCTGTGTGCGAAAAGCAACAGGAGGGTGGCGGATAGTGCACGCGTTTAACAAATTGAACGCTGCAACGGTACCGGCTCAGACGCCGATACCGAGGAAGGACGTAATCATTGATGGTATGTCAAAGAGTACCATCTTTTCGTCCATGGATTTGATGGATGGCTTCTATCAAATCCTAATGCGGGAACGGGATATACCCTATACCGCAGTTAGCACGCCTAGCGGCATGCTCTGGGAATGGCTAGTAATGCCACAAGGGCTCAGTAATGCCCCTGCCACGTTCAACAGGTGTGTATCACATCTGTTGAGGCCAGTACGAGAATTCGCGCCGAGTTATTTCGATGACGTATTCATCCATAGTCGAGCTATGGATGGAAAGTCGGACGTTGAGGTTCACAAGTACCACGTCCGACAAGTTCTTACAATCATGCGAAAGCATCAATTGTATGCAAACCTCAAGAAGTGTATATTTGCAGCAAGCGAAATACCACTTCTTGGGTGCATCGTTGGTAAGAACGGTGTACGTCCTGATCCCGAAAAGATCAAGGCGATCACCGACTGGCCCGTGCCGGTCGATGTCAAAGGTCTTCGAAAATTCCTTGGCTAGCGGCGTATTTGCATAAGTATTCACGCAATTACGCCGAGATGACTGTACACCTCTCTCGTTTGTTGAAAAAGAACGAGAGGTGGTTATGGAACGCTGAATGTCAACGCTCCTTTGAGGGTATCAAGCAGAGCTTGATACAATCCCCAGTCCTAGCAATAGCCGATCAGGACAGGCCATTTCATGTGGTCTGTGATGCCAGCGATTTCGCAATCGGCTGTGCATTAATGCAGTACGACCTTGAAGGCGTTGAACGCGTCGTCTGCTATCAGTCGCGTCAGCTGCAACCAGCTGAGCGGAACTATCCAGTGCATGACAAGGAACTCCTTGCCATGAAGTATGCACTCGCGAAGTTCAGAGTCTATCTATTAGGAGATAGACCCTTCGTTGTTTACACTGACCATGCGTCCTTACGCACGGCAGTGAACAGCCCGCACCTTTCACAACGAATGGCGCGGTGGTTGTCATTCTTTGCAGAATACAACTTTACGGTCGAGTACAAACCAGGACGACTTAATGTCGTCGCTGATGCACTCTCACGTCGTCCCGACTTTGAAACAGTCGCGAAACCCAACAGTGAGACAGTCACTGTTGCGGTTATGACGTCCTCAGTTCCATCTACAACGTTGTATGATGATGTGAGGCGGGCATACGCCCAAGATGGTGAGATAGTGAAGTTGTTGTCACATCTCTCCCAACCATCTCGAGAATCGTTGAAACGATTGTCGTCTGCGTATCGATCTGCATCAGATCGATACACTACTCGTAACGGTTTACTGTACTATACAGCCGTTTCTGGTGACACACCACGTGTTGTCATTCCAGATGATACTGATCTGCGTTTGCGGATCATGTTCGAGTATCACGATGCTCCTATAGGAGGACATCGTGGCCGAGAGAAAACATATCTCACGGTAAGTCGAGACTTTTACTGGCCCCGCCAGTATCAGTTTGTGCGAAAGTATGTTCGCGCATGCGAAGTCTGTCAACGAGTGAAGTCAAGTCCTTCACTGCGTGCACCTTTACAGCCTCTACCGGTTCCGGCTGAGTGCTGGGAATCCATCTCAATGGATTTCGTCTTCGGTTTACCCAAAGACGCACGCGGGAATACGGGTATTCTCGTATTTGTTGACAGATTCAGCAAAATGGTACACCTTGTGGCTGTACCAGAGACAATCACGGCAAGTGGCTGTGCTTGTGTCTTTATTGACACCATCTTCCGACTTCATGGGTTGCCCTGTGAACTCGTATCAGACAGAGATCCACGATTCACTGCTGATTTCTGGCGTTCCGTGTTCAAATCACTCGGAACGCGCTTGAAGATGTCAACATCTGATCATCCAGAGTCAGATGGTCAGACGGAACGTGCCAACCGTGTCCTCGAAGAGATACTTCGAGGATACGTACACTCCTTTAAAAGTTGGAGTGAGTTTTTGCCAATGGTAGAGTTTGCCATCAACAACTTCGGTGCATGCGTCCACGACGCATACACCGTTTTACGTGAATGGCTTGCGCCATCCGCGTGTACCCACCTTACTAGAGTGTAACTCTGGTTTAAGGGGGGAGGGACTCGCGCGAGCAAAAACCGATTTGGTTCACGCTCATCACGCTCTGACGAAGAAGTCATTGCGTTTGATGCCGATATCGATAACATCGATATCGAAGAAGATGATGCCAGTGAGAGTGCGGAAGCCCTCACTGAAGACAATGATCCCAGTGAGAGTGCGGAAGCCCTCACTGAAGAAAAGGTTGTTGTCGCTGCAGTGCGCTCACAGCACACTGAAGCTAACGAGTCATCAGATGAGTTCATACTGGCTCGTGAAACGGTAGTCCGTTTTGTGCAAGACTCCATCGCCGAAGCGGTGGATAAGCAAAAGCAAAACGCTGACAAGAATGGAAGGGCAAACACTCTTTTATTTAATAAAGGTGACTTAGTCCTACTGTCTACGGTTAATCTACCAAAACATGTAGTGACTCAACTTGGGTAGCAGTAAACTACTACCCAAGTACATTGGCCCATTTCGTGTATTGCACCGCCTAGGCAATGCATACACGATCGAGTTACCACGTAAGATGCGAACGCATCCCACGTTTTACGTTGGTCGGCTTAAGCCGTACCATCAGTACGCTGCTTCTTCCGATGAAGAACGCCCTTGCGCTCAAGCATCTCGCAGAGAGCCTTGTGCTCCCGATGGTGGGCATCAACAAGGGTCTGAAGAGCAGTTATCTCAGCCCGAGACCGATCAACAATGCCACGAGCTACCCTTAGCTCGTCACGAAGAGATGTCAGAGATCTCTCGTTCTCAAGCTGAGCAAAGGCAAACTCAGCTCGATGCTTCGAGGCAGTGTCCACCATCTGGAGACGCCTATTCCGCTCATGCTCGAGATCGTCGCGTAACCCTTGCGTTACGCGATCAAAGAAGCTCTCGGGAACACACCGATCCACATGATCGTGTGGAGAGCGTCTTTCCTCCTCCTCCACCTCCATTAGAGGACTCTCGCGGTGGCCAGCGCTATCTAGTAGAGCAGCTGTTGAACCACCGCGACGTGAACGGACGTCGGACGAGTTACCTCGTCCGGTGGCGCGGCTATCCCCCGTCCTGGGATTCTTGGGAGCCCCGCTCCCAATTGATGGTTGACGTACTGGGTCTGGTCGAGCAGTACGACGCGACACATCCTGTGCCGCAGAAGGACCGCCGGAGAAAGTCTTCCCGGCACGGTCGTAAAGGGATTTCAGGTTGTCAATCCCTTCGTACATCTCAGTAGAGACACGTACGCGCCACCACGGGCTGGTAAGGAGGTAAGCCTCCTTAGGTGCTCGTGCAGAGTTGTTCACACAACATGGGCACGAGTCTCCCCAAGAGAGGCAGGGTAATCCTTTCTCCCTTGACAGACGATGCAGCTTATAGCGTGCACCTGTCGGGGTTCGCTTTTCAAACTTATCACGAGCTTTGATAAGTTTGTCGTTCCAAGCGTCACGACCTACATCCTCGAGATTATGGATGTAGGCGTTCCACGCCTGAAGTAGTGAGGGACCATCACGTTTGTGATTCCCACTGTACCATCGATGTCTGAAGAAAGCATCGATGAAGAACTCATGTTCAGCGCGATAGTCTTTCGCGCTGGGGTCAAGGTGATGGATCCTTGACGAATCGAACAATCGTGTTCGATAACGATCACTCGTCGTCGCCGACAAGTGATCCATGACAGATTTAGGAGGCATCCATGCCTTCTTTTCTGGAGCGAGACGCAACACATTGCGGTCCCGCTCTTCCTGCGACGTGCCGACAGAAGTACTGGCACCTCGCTGTGAAGTGGTGTCCATTGGAGAAACGACACCACTATTAGCGCCCGAGTCTCGCGACCTCGAGCGCCTTCGCTTCGGCGATGGTTCATCTGACTCATCAGATGAACCAAAGATGCTGCGACGCAAAGCATCGTCCATGCCACGCTTGGCAGGCGGCTTGGATTCAATTGCCGTCGATACGGATCCGTCATCCGTATCAGGAGAGTACGAGACACCGAGCTCGTACTCTGTGAAGACACGAGTGTCTTCATGACCAGCGCCTGCATCACCAGGTGATACAGGCTGAGTCGATTCAGCAACCGATGGGACATCAGTTGCTGTAGTTTCTGCTTCGGCGTCCGCACAGAGACGTGCAGACGCGCTCTCGGCGGCCTTGCTCGCGCATCGCATGGGCTTGTTTACCATGCGATGAGATGTTGGAAAGTGGACGCGGACCAACAAGTGCAAACCCTGTCCCAAATGATTTGGGACGAGTATCCATTTAGTCAATCAGTCACTAAAGTGACTGATGGTTAAGGGGGGTGATGTAACGGGGTGAATCGTTACATAACAATTTATAAGAAATTGTTAATAGAATATAACTATAAGAGTTATATTCTCAGAATATTGTCATAAGGACAATATTCTGTAGCACTTCCAAGTAGTTCCTAATTGGTTGATATAGGCCATTATATCAACCAACGAAGACGCGCCACGACAGACGCACGCAATGAGTGGTGAGCAGATAACTGATTTACACATTTGTATTTAGACATAGTTAGATGAAGATAAATAGTGATTTATTGCAGACATTAACTATTATAAATACAGTTCTACTTTTTACTCTAACCGAGTACTCGCTTCTTCTTACCGTCTTCCTCTGCACGTACGAGTGTACGTGAAGTTACGAGGCACCGCCTTATTCTGTTATCAGAATAAGTAGCTTGTACTGTCACCAGTACAAGCTTCAGGGTGCCCCGTTACAGTTCCTGTTCCGGGGGACTGAACGATACAGTAAATCTACAGCACTTAGTGCTCAAGAGTAGCTACCTCATGAAGGTGCTGCTAACTCTTAACAACCAACGATCAGGGACACCTCGCAAGGCACGTGTCTTAGACAAGATCAGAAAAGAACTGAGCTTTATTTACGTTTCACTCGACCGAATATCTTAATCCTAATATTACCTAATCCAGGCACTCGTGTCCTAAATTATTATCTTTAAGATCTTCCCTATCTTGTGACTGACACCCGTCATCCCCTATAAACCGATAAGATATTCGATACCTCTTTCAGTTGTATACCATCCCGTGTGTTTAAGACACAGAGTAACGAGTACCCTACGATGTGTAACCCCTTTACACCCTCCCCCGCCAGACTGACGCTTACCCATCGTCAATCGAGCTTTCCTCCTCAACGAACTTCCCCGGGTAGGAATGAACCTACTCAACGAGGTCAATGCGCTTGCAGTTAATCTCACGTTAACGCAAATCTTTGGCAACATGCACTCATCGTCTAACGAGTCAAAAATCTTGCACTCATCGTCTAACGAGTCAAAAATCTTTGTGCGTACCTCAAGATGGAGGAGGCAGTATACTGTGGTAGCGATACCAGTGTCCCGGGTGAAGCAAGGATAATGTCCGATACACCCATGCCTAAGATGCAACCTCTACTACGTTAAGTCCGTCCTGTAAGCAGGATGATGCGCATGCGCCCCATTGGCGCCACACCCGGTTTGGATGATGCAATCATCACCAACCCACTCGATGAGCAGCAAGAGTTGGCTTTTTAACGAGAAGAAAGCGCTCGGCGCCATGCACAAATGGTCACAACCCGTTAGAACTAGCGTGACTATGTGTTCAATTATCTCAGTGTGGAGGAACGTATACGTCAAACGACTGGCCAAACGTTGGCAACGGGGACCATTGGTCCTGGAGCTACTTTTTTCGAGGAAGTGGCAAGTGGCCAGGCACTTCGTGAGAGGTACCTGGAGACATCCTCTGACAGCGCAAAGTCAGTACAAGGCACACCTTGAGATGCAAGCCGTGGTGCACCGTTTCTACCAATTAAGGGTGTATCTATTATCTTGTTCGCAGGCAAAACAACGAACGAAGAAGAAGATGCCTTTGTTCGCTGGGTGCACCGCTTTCGTCACCCCAGCATTATGTACGCTGTATGAGCTAGTAGGGCCGATGTGGCCGATGTCCGTCTCGAACGCAAGTTTCGGTATGAATATGCCTAGCTTAAGTTCAGAGGCCATTGCGTAATCGCATGCTCTATACTTTGGCGTTTGCGGTCACATTGTGACCGCAAACCATCCAACCCACACAACTGGTGGTGGAAAACGACCTCGATTTCGAGATGAAACTGGCCACGATGTTCAAAAACACCCAAGGCGTATGGGCAATATTGCTTGAGGGGATATCTCGTACTTCCGTGAGTTTGACGACTCAGGGTACCCTTGTGAGTACCTCAGCAAACCACCGAATGTTTTCTTTGGGTCGCTGTGAGAATTTGAGCACAGTCTCATCTCTTCGTTTGAACATCGTCCATTGCTCGTTGTCCAGGTCTTCACCCTGAAGTCGTGCGGACAGACAATAATCCTACTTCCGTGAAAAACTGGTCGAAATTCCTGCCCTGCCGAACTGCGTCTTGAGCGATTTTTTCAACCTCCGTCGCGAGGTCGCCGTCAATAGGGACAACCATGTTGTATGCCTTCTGCTCATCCGTCCACTGCTTTTTCCAGGAAAGGCGGCGGAATCGATTGCTCCAGAGAAGCCAATTGCGTGAGGATCCTCCTGTGAACTTCTTGATCTTGATCATCGGTATCTTTGCGGGGGGGGGGTCGGCACTTGATGTAATAATCACCATGGTGTAGGTGACGTATCTGTCACAATATTGGCGTCCCACGCTGTAGACACCTTGTCCTTTATCCGATCTTGCTCAGATCTGATATATCAAAATGACACATTCGTGGCTCGCAGAGGGGTGATTGATCCGCTAGCCTTGCTTGAGAGGGTCTTGCGGAGTAAAAAGTAGATTGAAATTGTATGACAGACTACGTTAACAACTACCACCATGTACCGAACGAACGGTCAACCCGTTTAATATTGTCCACATTGGTTTCATCGGACCACACGACGGTGGATATAACGGGATACCGATGATTGATCAAGCGACTAAGTGGCTTGAAGTTTCTGTACCAATAAATGCAGAATCGCCGACGAAAGCTGAAAGTTTGACCACAAGTGTCTTTGCCGATACCCACTTCCACGAAAAGTTGTCCACGACCACAGGTTAAGTTTTCAGGGTTGAGGTCCAGCAGCAATCACATAATCATCTGAAGAGACGTCATGAACACCCTATGACTATTTTGAACTTTAAAGACCGGGTGGTACAATGGAAAGACTGTTTGCTTGGCTTAACACAGGGCAAGATACGGCGAGAATACGCTTGACAGACCAAGATGATTTACAGTATCACGAGGAAGTAAAAGGAAGCAACTACGACGGCAGTCCAGATAGAGGCGTTCCTGACTGACCATCTTGCCACCAACATGAAGACTCAATGCCTAGCATTACTGGTCGAGTACGAAAATCTTTACAATGGACACCTCGAACGAATGCGCTTTCCCGACTATGAGCTGCCGATTAAACCGAATTACAAGCTGATTCATGCGAAGGCCCACCCCATCGCGCGCATCCATGAAAGCAAAGACAAGGAGAACATTGAGAGACTTATCAGTGATGGCGTGCTGAACCATATTTTCGACGCGAAAATGGCCTCACCCGCGTTTTTCATCACCAAGTCTGATAAATCACGGCGTCTTTCAAATTACTATCGTGCACTAAACAATTATTTACGAAGGAATTCACACTACGTGCCACGCTTTCGACATATCCTTACGCGCTTGTCAACGCAAGGTGTCGTTTAACATTTGACGCAAACCATGGATACCGGCGACTAGCTCGAAAAAGCAGCCCACTTACTGCTTTTTGTTTGCTCTTCGTAAAATGCCAATGCGAGTGACTACCGATGATATATCGACAGCCCCTGAAGACTACCAAGCGTGCATGGATCGTTTCCTTGGCGACCTGCCGTTTATCGTAAAATAATTGTGCGACCTTGTAGTAATTTTCCAATGCAAACGAAGACCATCTCGCGCATTGGCACGTTCTCTCCGAGCGCCTGAAGATCTACGGCGTGTCGTTAAACGGGAGAAAGTGCCACATTTGGTGCAAGGAGGTGGATTACCTTGGGTTTACGCTATTGTTCGCTAAATGAAGCCGCAAGGAGAAAAACCCAGGCCATTCAATAGATCGCAGAACCACACAGCCGGAAAGAGCTTCGACGTGTTCTAGGCGTGAACAACTACTGCTGAGACACAATTACAAACAAGACAACCTCGTGCAAGTCGCTTTGTCAAGAAGTGCCAAGATACCCTTTACATGGCTACCCAGAGATACAAAGCCTTTTAAACGTTAACCGTGTAGTTGTGGAGGCCTTCCTGATAGCCTTCCCTAACCTTAAGGAGCCTTTCTATGTCTACGCGGATTCTAGCGGAACCCAGATAGGTGTTGACTTATTAGCAAGGTACGAATATCATGGAATGCTACTCACTCAGTCTTACCAATCACGAGACTAACTACACAATCATGGATCAGGAGCCACTTACGATCGTTGAGCTTTTACGCCAATACCCGAACAATGCTCCCGTATTTCCAGTTGAGGCCCATACTAACTACAAAAATTTGATCTTCGCCAATGAAACAAGTCTTCAAGTGTAGCGCTTAAAATTACTCCTCTCTGAGTATAGCCTGACGATGACCTATATTAAAGGTAACAAGATTGGATCAGATGCCTTCTCACGCATGTCATTTGCGAAACGTGAAGGTCCATCGCTTCGCGACGAATTCTACGCGCTAAATGCGACGCCGTAGTACATAGTGCATGGTCCCGTTATCTTACAGAACCAAGAAAACGATAAAATAATCGCGTCGATCAAAGCGCCATTTTTTGCAGGGACCTACGGCCCATACTATCATCTCTAGATCCTCTTGGGATGTACCATGGCTGTGTACTGTGTACAAGTAATCGTTCCTGACAGTCTTCGTGAGTACCTGATCGAATGATACCACATGAAACTCGGCTCATCCAGCAAGTCATCGACACCACAACACGATGCAAATACATTCTATTGGCCGCACATGGAAAACATCTTCAAATGTGTTCGCCAATGCATCACGTGCAATCGCGCTAAGTTGCACGAGTGCAAAAAAAGATCACGGACTACTACCACCATGTGCCAAAAGAACAGTCAACCCGTTCAGTATTGTCCACGTTGATCTCAACGGATCGTACGACGGCCGATAATACGGAAAAAAGATGATTGATCAAGCGACTAAGTGGCTTGAAGTTGCTGTACAGCCAAATACAGGATCGCTGAAGACAGCAGAAAGTTTGACCGCAAGTGGCTTTGCCGATGCCCACGTCCACGACAAGTTTTCCATGACCACGTGTTGGAGTTTACAGGAGAAGAAATCCAGAAATTACTCCACAGATACAGTTTTAAATCAAAGCCTATCACAGCCAAAATCCTCACGACAATTCTATCTGTGGGCGCGTACATTTAATTTTGTGAAGTCATTCTCTATCGCACAGGCGCGGATTGGAAGAAGTAATTATCACGTCACTTTTTTCGTACGTGCAAGCAGCCGTAGCATGCTCAATGTATCTCCGGGAAAACTCATTTTTGACAGAGAAATTACTTTGCGATAACTGCACGAGGCGAATTGAAATTACCTGTTAAAAAGGCGGTTTAATGCCATCCTAGCTGATAACACACGCGATAATACCAAACGGCTAGTGTCTTCTACCATCCCGGCGGCACGTAATTATCCGAAAACTGAAGCAGTTTTTTGCAAAGACCAAGGAAGTGTCATATGGGTCCTACACCACCAGCACTGTGCATGAAAATGGAGCCTTCACTATTGACTAAGGAGAAACGACACATAGGCTGTCTATTCGTCGCATCTTCTCGTGCTAGCATGCATCTCTTCGTGGGGGGGGAGTATGACATAACAGCCAAATAACCGGATTGATTGAAGTTGGATAAATCATACTCAACGATTCATCAACGCCTACCTGGGAACAATCTGCTACAAGGGATTCATGGATCGATAAACCAAGATGAAGCAGGCACGGTAGAGTAACGTGGTCTGCAATACATTTTTCAATCTGCCTTTTACTCCGCAAGACCCTCCCAAAAAACAAGGCTAGCGGAACGATCACCCCTCTGCAAGCCACGGGTTTGTCATTTGTCATTTTACCAGATATTGGCATTGGCCATGACGACGAAGTCGCTTCAGTAGCCGCTCGAAATGTAGCTGATGATTTCCATGCTCATCCGTCAGCGTCAAGGGTGGCCGGTATACCGGTGGCGCACCTCCAGAAAACGGTTCTCAAAGGAAATAGTCTCCAGGAGACCTTGGGTATGACCCAGTGTATGCTGGATGTGATGCAAAGGCACCTTCAGACGTTGGGTTCGGGTCACACCCGGATGGAGGTCCGGCTTGACCTCCTGGGTCGGAATCAGCAACCGATGGCAAGGCCAAAATCGCGGCGCAAGAGCCTCCAAGGTCACGTGAGACGGATCCTGATGTGGATTATGTAAGTCTACGTAGCACACTGGGTGTATGCGCAATTTGCGCGGAAGGTTTAGCGCATACGCAAGTCCCTTCTTGGCACTGACCGTAAATGGTCCAATGAACCGTGGACGCAACTTTTCCTTTGAGACAGCAGACACTACATTTGTAGGTAGGTTTTTAGCATTGAGTAATACTTGTTCTCCAACCTTATAACGCTCATTACAACCTATGTTTTAAGCATCTTCTTGTTGTTGTTGTTGGTCTAGACTTCCAGCCATTGCGTCGCGTACATGTATTTATACGTTTAATAGCGTTGCGAGAAACTCGCCTACCTGTTTTTGAACAGTATCAGGGCTGATACCAGGAAGACGATCGGCAACCTCTCCCCCACCAAGACATGAACTACATAGTGGTAGCATTTACGAAACGCAAGGGTGGGTGAGACCGTTTTCGTAGAACGGAGTATAGCCTGTGGAGGCACAAACAGCGTTGTTCAACGCAAACTCAATGACAGGGAGCATGGAGCTAAAACGCTTAGGCTTATCAGCGCAAACACTGCACAAAATGTCAATAATGACGCGGTTAACACGCTCAGCTTGACCATCGTTCAGAGAATGATCAGCTGTGGACATGTCCAATCGGGTACCGAGCACCTTGAAGACGGACTTTTATAACTTACCAGTGATGCAGGGATCTTTATCGAGCAATTGCCTTTGGCAAACCATGTTTTCGAAACACAAGGACTATAAAAAGCTTTTGCTGTACCATCGGCATCAAGTGAGTCCGGAACTGTTGCTTGATGATCCATCTTGATTAATCGGTCAAAAAAGACCGCAATGCCAGCGTTGCCTTCCGAATCTTTCGGTAGGCCACACAAAGTTCATACTCATCGACTCCCAACACCCAGTGGGAACAGGCAGACTAGCCAGCGACGCCGCCGCATGTGCTGAGGTTTTAACTCGCTCATACGTTTCACACGTAAGCACATAGTTTTTCACTCACTTGTATAGTTTGGGCCACCAATAAGCCTGGTTCACTGAGCTGCAGGTCTTAGTACGATCGAGATGACCATTTATAGCAATATTATGTGCCTCGTACAGAGTTCTATACTTCAACTCTTTTTCATGGGGACAGCGATACGAGGGTTATCTTCAACATATGTGCGATAGCACATCA